ACGTGTATTGCAGAATGAGCAACGACTGCATGCAACCGGGAAATCATAGATGACGCCTCCAGATATTCCACGTTTCAGATATGAAAGTGAAATTTGGAAGTCCATCCTGTTAAATAACTTTTTAGTGTTGAAAACGCCTTTGAATCTATAAAGCAACTACACCTCTTTGGTCTGTCCATTAAACACGAGTAATAAACAGTGTTTAGAAATAGTTTTTGATTCCCTTTAAGTTGGACTTTGAGCTTTTTAAATGACAATAATCTTCATTTCTCTTTGCTAGTTGCAGGATCAAAGAGTACTCTCTTCGAGACGACGGGCCTTTTCGTTGCTTAACAAGCGGCGTCAAAAATGTTGTGTACTTACAACACGGTCCTTGTTTCCAAAACTATTTGTGTAAAAAGTACATGGCAATGTCTTTCATGGTCTGATTCATGCCTTAGACAAAAATTCCAACTTAACGTTAACATGAAACACATTTTTTTTCGCTCATCCCTATTGCATATTTGGCTCAGGGACCACATGTCATGATTTACACTTTAAATCAGTTAACCCCCCCCCTTTTTTTTTTCTTAGTAAATGTTTTCCGGCGCTCGCAACTGCATACGGTCACATGAGCGCACAATATATATTGAACATTTTCAGTTGTTTGGAAATTTTGAATTTTTCGTGGGTGACGGCCGAAGCTTACTCATATCGATTTTGGACAACCAAGGGATTTCGTCCTTGTTCGAGAAAGCTAAGTGTAGATATTTCCTACCAAAAGATCAAGGGTGTGGCTGAAAGACAGCAGTACGAAAGAGCCAAGGTGTAGCAGTAGAGAGGTTGCAGAAAGCATCAGGAGTCCAGAGGAGGGGGCAAAGAAGGTGAGGGAGAACGGGCAAAAAGTGGAGGCGAAAGCAAATGACAGAACATTGCTGGAGAGCAGGAAAGGAGGTGAAAGGAGACAATTTTAGATAAGAAACGGACGGAGGGGTAAAGTATTTGCAGGAATTTTCCAGCATTTCAAACATGTACGGGCGTTACCCTTTACAAACACATCTCTGAAAGTTATCTTTACAGAGAACGATGGCAAGCAGCTGAGTAAAATATATGTCATTGTACGAGTAAAAGTTGTTACAACCCCATCGACCCTAAGTCAGAGCATGTAAGTATAAGCGACTGCTTTGACCCTGTCTTCAAAGACTAACCTCTACTTGAAAGGATACAATGTTCCGGCTGTCAAAAAAAAAAGAAAAAAGAGAAAAAAAGAAGACTAGAAAACACACAAAAAACCCCAAAACAAAACTCTCATGGGAGTCAAACTAATCCTAGGTTTCCATAATGTGCACATTAACTCTTAGAATACGGAAGGCTATTCTATCTTTGGCACCTTTGGGCGCAACCACTTTTGTCATTCAATTTTTCAACATTACAAAATTCCCTCCTACTCCACTCCTGTTTAACATATTTGCATAATATTATATTTTAAAAAACATCAAACTGAGAAGAAATGAATTATTTTTGTAATAAACATACAGTTTCATCAGAAATGAAGTAAGTTTGCTAAGTTTTCGAAGATTTTTCTTTTGACTATATAACAGTTCGAGGTTTTGCGCCATCTGAACTGGCTCGCCGTATACCAAAAGTTAATCCATTCAGCGATCAGCCCGAGACTTTCCTCCAGCTAATAGGTACTATTGGGGAGAAGACCTGGCAATGCGAGGGTTAATTCTTGTCTACCTTTTCCTGATTAGTTCCGCAATGTGTTCCCTAACTACCGGGTGGAAACAGGCTTCGTGGATAATGACCTCTATACAACTACATACTTTTCTCATTCGTCATTAGAGAAGCTACGGTTGTAGCACAGTGAGGTGTCTGTATGCCATGTCAACGCCCGCAAGGCGACCTGCAGAAAAGATTCACACACCTGTTTGAGACTGTTATTTCAAACTGTGGAAAAGCACATACTGTGCCCCCCCCCCAATTCCCACTCTTTTTTCCTGTTCTCATTTTCCAAACGCGTCCATAGTTTTTTTCATGACGTCCCAGCAACCCAATTTTGTGTCTCCCCCCCCCCACCCCCAAGAGAATGGAAACCCCGGATATGTGTAGTGGACCAAGTGAGTTCCAAATGTGGAGGGCTAATATTGATTTCACCTCAAGTTAATCTTGATGCATTCAAGTCATTCTTGAAACATAATGTTTATTTGTCGTACTTAGTCTTGACTCCAGAGTCTGTGGTTGTGGCGTCATTGGTTTAGCGACCTAACACAAAATCAAGTAGATTGTAAATATTTCATTCCCAATCGATATATATATATATATTGGATAACGTAGGAGACAGGCTGTTTCGATCCTGTCTTTAAGGACCAGCCCAGGCTCAGTAAGATGGTAAATTCTGGCAACAGAAAGAGACTCTCTTTGTAAAAATATCTCACGCACGCGGGAATAAAACAACAAACGTAGTGCCACAGTGTATTCAGAAATCGACGTAACTAGAAAATCAAGCAAATAGAGTGTGAAAGTTCGTCTGTAAGTTTGCGCTTTGCTGGTCTGTCAATAGGTGTGTCTTTATCTCTGACTATTCTTTCCATCTTTCATTATCTTGATCTCTCCATTTCTCTATATCTGACTGTTTCTCTCTACTTCTCTCTTCCTCTTTTTCGCTCTATTCTACTGTCTCTCCTAAAGAGTAAACGTCCATCTCTTTGTTTACGTATTGCTTGTCATTCAATAGGTATGTCTCTATTTTTGTCTGTCTGTCTCTCCTTCTTTACACCTCTCCGTCTCCCTATATCTCTCTGTTTCTTTCTTTCTCTCCCTTCCCCTTCTTAGCGTTCCTCTTCTGTCTCTTCTAAAGAATGTTCGTCTCGCGATTTACCTTTTGCTTGTCTGTCAATTAATATGCCTTTTTCTTTTTCTATCTGTTTCTCTCTCTCCCTTCTTTCGCATTTCTTTCCCTCTATATCTGTAGTTTTCTATTTATCTCCCTCTTCCTCTCTTTCGTTCTCTTCTTCTATCTCTCCTAAAGAGTTCCTTTCTTGGTTTGTGCTTGCTTTTTGTCAGATTTAGATATTATGTCTCTATCTCTGACTGCCTTTCCTACTTTCCTTCTCTCAATCTCTACTTCTCTCTAGATCTATTAGTTTCACTCTCTCTTTCTCTCTCTCTCTCTCTCTCTCTCTCTCTCTCTCTCTCTCTCTCTCACACACACACACACACACACACACACACACACACACACACACACACACTCACACACACCCTGCCCTCCCCCCTCTCTCCGTCTTTCTCTCTTTCTCCAAATATGTCTGTCTGTCAAGAGCTCTCACCTAGTCTCTTTCCCTCTTAGTTTTTCTTATTTTCCTTGGCTCTAAGAAGGTCAAAAAACAGGTTTATGTCGAACTGACGGACAGTGCCCCACCCTCACGCGGACAGGGAGGCCGCAAAATGCTACAACATTTCTGACATAGGTGTGGCATTAATAGTTTCATCGCACTCCGTATGTCTTCTGCATAGCTGTCTTTCGTTGAACAGTCCAGAAAATTAATGGACGCCGTCCTCCGTCGCCCCTACCCCCTCTACTTTTTAAATGACCTTCCACTCCAGCCCCTAAAAAAAAACAAAAAAACAGTGACCAAAAAACAAACAAACAAAAACCCCCCCAACAACAACAACAAAAAAACAAACAAAAACAAAAACTATAACAACAACCTAACAATATCAACAAAAAAGACACGAACCTACAATAAATGGGCACCGTCTAAAAATCTGCTTCTATCTATCTATCTATCTATCTATCTATCTATCTATCTATCTATCTATCTATCTATCTATCTATCTATCTATCTATCTATCTATCTATCTATCTATCTATCTATCTATCTATCTATTTTTCTGTCTATCTATTCTTTCTTTCTTTCTTTTTTCTTTCTTCTTTTCTTTCTTTCTTTTCTTAAAATTCACTTACATACCCTTTATTCTCTTCCTGCACCCCCCCCCCTCCCCACACACACACAGACAATGAAAGTTGACAGAGGACAGGGATATATCCATGTTCATATGAAGACACTAATCATTAAAAAGAATTACTTTGGCAAAAACAACAAAAGAAGGCCCAAAACATGCAAATCAAACCTCCAGGCCAACATCAGAGACTGCTGACTGAAACAAAAAATAAAAGACAGAACAAAACAAAACAAAAAAACTTTTTAAAAAATGAAAACAAGTAGACGTCCCTGAAAAATTCCAAAAAAACAAAAAAGTTGTTATTGCTTTTCTTGACACGCCCCGTGCCATTTCCTTCTCCACTTCTCAGCTTGAGAATTGTAGGTTAGTCTAACGGCCAACTCTTCGCTCTCTGTTCGTGTTCCGCTGGTGTCCGGCTGACAGGAGGGACAGCTCGGACACAGGTGCATCATTATTCAGGACAAGACGAACCATAATTTATGTCCCCGTCCCTGTCAATCACTGAGCCAGCGATGAGTTCTGTCCTGGTCTAAGGTATCAGACCTCTTAAAGCGAAACTGAAACACTCTGTATATTCAAACACATTTTCGAAGTCTTATTGCTGTTTGTAACAAAAATCTGACAGTAATCAAAAGCAATATTCAAAGAGAGAAGTACAAGGGGTTACTGTGAAACACAGATTGACAGGCGGTAGATTAAATCAAAAACGAAAAGTTATCGACATTCCAAACGGAACAAATTCTCTTTCAATACTTTTGATGTTTGTACTTTCCATGCCCACGGGGTGTTTGCCAGACTGTGAAAAGGGCAATATAAAACGTGCAGTTGGAAAGATGACTAATTATTGAGCAGATGAGTGGCCGACGGAGGGAACTTTGTTCTCATTTGTAAGGCCTCTAGATTTGCTTGAAAACCCGGTGAATTCTATGCAGTTACTTTCACTAGTTTTTAATATTTTTAAAAAAAATTCGAAGTATAGTGCAAGGGATTCATTACAGGACTATATTCTGTTAACCATGCATTCCCGCGAAAATCACAGGAGGCAATATAAAATGTTTGCTCCACTGAAGGTGAGTTATGTATTTTTTACACTTTAATTAAAGTAATTTTTCCCGCATCCGACATTGGGGATTGTTTGTTAGTGAGACAACGTCCTGGGCGTTCGGTACATTGTTGTAAGGTGGCCAGTTCCTTTCAGCGCCGCCTTTACTTCCCCAACTCGAAGTCAGGTACCCGTTACTGCTGGGTGGGCAAGAGGGGGGGGGGGGCGAAAAAAGACCCGTGTCTGAACCGAGGCTCGAACCTGGACTTTCCGTTTCGGAGACAAGCGCACTAACCGCTCCACCACCGCATCCTTCAATTAGAAAGCGAAATATCGATAAAAGGAGTTTCTGAAACTAAATTCTTATAAAAATGCATATAGGGCTTATAACCAATGTTCAGTAGATCTAAATGAAAAATATTGTTTTGGGAAGATAACTGCACCAACATACTTCTGTTTCCAACTTTAAGAGTTCCCTTTTATTATTAGTCCGAAACCTTAAATAAAATATTATGTTAAAAGAGAAGATTGTGAATATCAGTGCCATTCCAAGAAAAATGATAGTAGGCGGCTCTTGACGTCTAGAGGCACAGTGTTCACCTCTCATTCAATAGGTTCCTGGTTCGTAACCTGACAGTGACGGAAAATTTTCTTCCCTGACGTTTTCTCGTTTCACCTCCTTTCATGCTCTCGAACCGTTTTCTGTCGTTTGCTTTCGTCTCCACCTTTTTGCTACTACTACTACTACTACTACTACTACTACTACTACTACTACTACTACTACTAGTAATAATAATAATAATAAAAACAATAAATAGCATACATTTGTATTGTGCATGTCATAACCTCTCAACAACCAGCTCTATACTTTTTTTGAATTATTTTATCACTCAAGCAGATCCCACAACACTCAGGAACATTCTCGGTTTTCCGTGAAACATCCAATTCACGCAGCCAATTAAGCACTGACACACGAACAGGCCGGCATGATCTTTCGGATCTCTGTCATTACTCGTAATCTGTTCCCACCTTGATGAATAAGGGACATTTGTGTAAACTGATTTCTCCAAAGACTCACGGTCGGATCCGTGATGGGGTTTGAAACCACGACCTGTCGGTGGTGAGTCCAACAGCCTTACTACTAGATCACTGACGCCACAAGAAAAATTTTTCAAAAAGTCCGCACACTGTTTCTCTGTTTATAAAACAGTCTTGTTTGAATACTTTTTACTCCATAAAATACATACTATTTTTTCACTGGGGTATGCTCACCGACAACGCATAGCTGTTATATTATGCATACGGCCTGAAGGTCGTTTGTTAATACTCAAAAGTCATACATTAAAATTTGAGTGTAAGAGTAGAAAACGAAGTGCTTTCTTGGGCATTTAAAAGTCAGTCAAATTGCCTTGTTCATCTAGGAAGGAAGATAAGACGACCTAGAAAGCGACCAGGCGAGACGTGCATGACAAAAGAGACCTCTCAGCAACATTCCAAGTGATCGATAGCTCTGATCTTACGTTGCTATGTGTCGTTCGGTTTGTCATAGAAGACGTTTCGGAGATGTTTCTTGCACCTAACCCCAGCAGCAACACCAACAATGATCTCTGCCTCCTTGTAACGGCAGACGATGGGAAGGCGCGTTTTTTTTGTATATTGCATATTTATAAGAAATATGTTGACGATCAGGAGGCATTTGAAGTATCGCACACGCTATTACACTACGAAATAGCCAGACTAAAGTACATGATGAATATGAACATGCAAATGCAGGAAATGGGATCTCTTTTTTTCTACCCACGCCACCTTCTGGTGTTGTTGTACCCATTTTGATCAAAGACAACACCTATAAAGAAAGATGTTCCTCACAGAGGAATTGAGTTCTCGACCCAGAATAACTTTCCATGTCTGACTTGAAAAAATCAAAGTAAAAGTGACTTATTTCCCAATGGATATGGCTTGTAGACAGAGACACATCTGGAGGACCCCCCTTCCCCTCCCCCTAGTCAGTTCTCCATGGATCCAAGGATACACGTAAGAACTCGGCTTACTTGTCGCATACAGAAAAAGTATACCCAAAAAACCCTTGTAAGGTACAAATTAGCATTTACACCTTCCCATAAAATCCACACACTTTTTTTTTGGTGGGGGGGGGGGGTACATTGTGTTTATGCATCCCAATATGTATAAACGTTTTCTAGGGTCAGTGGAAAGTATAAAAACATTCTAAGCGTGTGAATGATAGTGTAGAGAGTCACTTTTACTGGTACCTACATGCCCAGCCTGAAAGAAGAAGATACACATGTACGAGAGCTTACCTTTGCGTTTTTCCTTAACTGTTTCCCCTTTGACATTATCAAGGCTTTTTCATGTGATTTCCCGAGGGCTGTTTTTTCCCTCGAAATTCGTGGAGTTCAGCAATAAACACACACACATAATGTTCAAGGTAAGTTTCTGCCCCGGATCATTATAGAAATTAGTGATAAATATTTTTTTTTTCGAAAATGTTTTTGAAAACAACGAACATATGTTTTTCCCTAAATCTTTAAAAAATTCATTTGTCTCTTTCTCTTGTGAACCAGTAAAACGCTCCTTCATCTAAATGAATGCTTGAACAGTTGGATTTTTTTCTATTTAAATAAAACTGAAATACCCCCCGGGGCAGTGCCACTGACTGAAATGTCTTTAAGCCATTTCCAAAGGGGGGACATTTCTCTTTCAAGCATAGTAGAATTGTAAATGGGCTGACTCATGTGACGCTCATAACTGTACCTGGTCTACAACAGGGTACTGTTGCTTTCTCTTTCCTGATCCTTACTATTGTAATTTTCCTCTACTTCTTTTGTATGTTTGTCACTCTCTTGTGACCTGCTATTTTGGGGTGCCTTGATAGTCGAAGTAGACCTTGTGCTGTTGAAGCTAGAGAGGTGAACAGTCTAAGTCTGATTCCTTGTAAAGACTTCTCTGTTGACACCCACCCCTTGGCGCTCATATGACCTTATGCAGTTGTGAGCGCCGTGAAACCCTCTACTATAAAATAAAAACAACAAAAAACCCTGAAATATCTGCTTGAAACTTCAGCGTTTAGCAGACAAACTGTGATTTAGTACATAATAATATACATGTGAATTTTACGCTGCTCTGGCAGGCACACCGTGATCAGGATTTTATCATGTAGGTCTACCGAGCGGATGGTACATGTTTGAATCCGCACTGGGAAGTTCTGAACTTGGATCGTTTTGTTCAATTTTTAGGGTTCGAAACCCATTTGGCTTGGTCCCATCCTTTCTTTTAATCAACGCTAAATTCGGAGCTTCTAAAAAACGTTACTGTGTTAAACATGACGTTAGAGCATTAACATATTATACCAATACCGAGGAACTGATCAAGGCTGATTCGACACAAAGGCTGAACTCGGTTCAAATTTTGCGAGACCTAGGTTTTTTGTGAGGTACAGTTTTAACGCAACTCATATACACACCGAACAAATTATTTTATCCCTGAATGCGCCCCTTCTCTCCCACTTCCTGATACTCTATCACTATCCCCTTTATCTTTCCACCCCCCCCCCCCTGTCTCTCTCCTCTTCCCTCCCCCCTCTATCTATCTCCTTCTCAATAATATTATATCGCTTTGTCTTTCTCTCCTGTCGATCTCCAGCCCCCCTCCCCCACCCCATCTCTTTCCTTTCCCCCTCTCTCTTCTTCTATCGTCTTCCCACCCCTATTTTTTCAATCTCCCCTACCCCACCCACCCCAGACCCCCACCCCTAGGTTGTCTCTCTTACCACATCTCTTTCAACCAACTCCTCTTCTCTCTATATCTCACCCCCACCGTTACTGCCCACTCACCTAACCTCATTCAACCACCCTCTTCTTCCCCCAACCCCATACCCCCACCCTCACCTTCACCCAACCCCATATCCCCATCCTCACCTTCACCGCACTTACTCTCTTTTACCCACGTCCACAGGTACTCATCCCCTTCCTCTACCTCACAACTCACGTGCGCGCTGACGAGACCAGAGTGTTGGCGGCTAGTGTGAAGGGTTTGGGAGGAGCAGGACTCACAAACGTCCCTGGTCTGGGTACTGGAGTCTTCCTTGATCGGGACGACACAGACCTAGTCTTCGCCAAAACAGGACGTACGTTGCTTTTGATTTATTTCTGTTTGTTTGTTTGTTTGTTGTGTTTGTTTGTTTGTTGTATTTAAATGTTTTTTTAAGTTCCCATCTCCTGTCTTCTCCCTCGTTTACCTTTCCTCCCCCCCTCTCTTCCTTTCTGTCGCCCTCCCACCTCTCCTTTCCACTACACACTTCTATCGCCCTCCCACTACCCCTTATTTTCACCCTACAATTTAGGAGGTGGGCCTCGACTCTGCCTGTAAGGGTGAACTGAACTGAGAGGGGTACAACATCCCACAGGACTTAAGTAGAAACTTACACCTGACTGAAGACTACAGAAAAAAAGAACAAAACAGACAAGGTCACATTTCAGGGATGTTCCGAAATGTAATTTTCATAACGGTTTTTTTTTCAAATTTAAAAATTCCTTGGTCTTCTTGGTATGTTTTTATTCATCGTTAATGTTTAATGCTACAACCAACAGCCCAAAAACATGTGTTGGGTAATGATAAGGTACTTCATCGTTGCACCTAGAAGACACGAGAGCTGTTGCCGTGTAGGCAAGTTCTTTTTTCTATTTAATTTTAGAACAGTTAAGCTTGCCTTAACGACACTGTCCAAACAATCAGCTGCATAATGACTCTGTCCTATGCGCCGACCTGTTAAAGTCTTTTCTCTCCTTCAATGATCCAAGGCGTCCACCTGTCTAAGACAATCTCTTTTCTCCTCGACATCGGACGCTTATCTTGGACAGTTTCAACATTCATTCCCTTTGTCTGTTTACTTGTAAGCCCGAATTGGACCTGGTAGGCAGGGTCGAATAGCTCATCATCTATAACTGTGTCTATGTGGGTGCAAAGAAAACAAACACACATGCATAATTACATACACACACATAAACACGCGCACTTTGCATGCAATAAGCATTTAATCCATAGGCAATCCTCTCTCCCTCTCTCTTTTTCTCTCTCTCTCTCCATCTCTTTCTTTCTAACTCTTCCTCCTTCTCTTTATCCCTCTCCCAACCTCTCTCTATCACTTTCTCATTTTCTTTCCTATCCCTCCTCCGGCTCTCTTCATCATGTTCTCTTTTTCTTTCCCCATGTTTTGTCTCTTGCGCATCCTCTTTAATCAAATTACGCACACCCCCCTCCCATTTTTTCTTTTGATGTGGATTTAATATTTTTTTAAATTCACGTTTTCTTTTCTCTATGGCATCTTTGGTGTAACGGGTAGGAGCGTGTCTTGAGTTTGATTCCAGCAAGGGAAAGACATGTTATAGAATATCTCTGACCGCTTGCTAGATTGCTGTTTTTGATTTTTTAAAATCAAATCCGGGTCTGCTCTTACAGGCAAGACCGTAGCACCTCGTTTTCTAAATGACGTTGATGAATGTGTAAAATAACTACATAACTACATGAACCAGGGGCTAAGACTGACTTGTTTGACAGGGTAATCAAAGTGAGATGGGACCAGAGAGGGCCTGGAGATATCACACTCACACACGTCACAAGAATCTTACTGGAGGCGGCAACATTGAGTTGTGAATGAAAACAAATCTGAATTCATGTCGTATGCATATTCAACCGCTAAAATAATCGGGAAAACATTTAATTAAATATTTATTCTAACTAACCGTGAATTTAACTTAAGATTTGAATACACGAACACCAAGGAAAGAAGCAGAGATGTCAGTACTACAATGGCAGGTTATACCAGACAGTCTAAACACTTTGGTAGAGCATGCCAATTATTAATTTATTATTTCACATTTGGCTGTTTTTGTCTATCTTTTCTCGCGGCCAGGAGCCGGTGTCATAATCGAGGTCATGATCTGATTATAGGACGTTAAAAAGTCGAGGAAAAAAACACGCACTCGCAGCAGTCAATATATTATTAGGAGTTAGTTCCCTTCACATCTGTGAGGTAGACTCGACCAGTGTAATAGTTAGCTTACTTAATCAGCGTGTGTGGCTGCTTATAACTGTGGCTCGAAAGGGGTGAACAGGGTATATGTGGCAATGAAACAGTTTTGACTGCTATGCACATGTTCCCTTTAACTCTATTGGTAGACTCTTCCAGCCTCACTTTAAGCTTACTTAATCAAAGCTTGAGACTGCTTATGGAGTGGCCCGATAGGGGTGAACAGGCTATTTCTGTGGCAATGAAACGGTATTAAAGGTTTGGCATAGTCTATTGTTCGTTGGAGATTATGAACGTCTTTTTACTTTTAATTTATGAGGCTTACGTCTAGAGGTGAATTTGACTGCGACAATGTTTCAAAATTAGGAAGGGCAGCAGTGATTATTTGATTATACAGTCGCTTCGCCACTGAATGAACAATGTATCTTATCTTCTCTACTTTTCAGTTGTCGGAAATACTGGGAACATCGGTGTTGTGGGTGGAGGAGCTGGGATTGGAACCGGGGTGGTAGGTGGTGTAGCTGGTGGTATAGGCGGTGGGGTAATCGGTGGGATAGCAGGTGGAGTGGGCGGGGTTCCAGTCATGGGAGGACTCGGGGGTCTGGGAGCCGGGGGAGGAGGCAATAATGTGGTCACTGTAGTGGACGTTGGAGGTCAGGGAGGAGGAGGATTAGGAGGAGGAATAGGAGGTGGGTTAGGAGGTGGGTTAGGAGGAGGGTTAGGAGGAGGAATAGGAGGTGGTATAGGAGGCATAGGAGGAATAGGCGGAATTGGAGGAATCGGAGGAGGGTTAGGAGGAATAGGAGGAGGTTTGGTAGGAATCGGAGGAGGGCTGGGAGGAGGGTTAAGATTGATAGGAGGAGGAGGGGGAGGGGGCGGAGGAGGCCGGGCTGTGGCTGTAGGGGGTGGGGCCAACATTGTCATCAAAGGAGGAAACGTGTCGGTAAGTACAATGTGTTGTTCTCTTACTTATCATATCATTCTTTTTTCTTCATAGGTAACATCGTTTTTGACTTCACTGAGACAACGCATGTAGTCAGTATGAAGACTAATAATGGCATATATTATATTATAGTATATTATTATGAGTAGGGAAATATGCATTTTTAAAGTGTTACAATAAGATGCCACCCAATAGCAGACTCTCCAACAAATTGACTGACTGATTGACTGACTGATTGACTGACTGAATGACTGACTAAATGACTGACTAAATGACTGACTAAGTAACTGACAGAGTTTCTGACTAACTCACTCACGTAACTCTCGTTTCTTCGAACCTTCGCTCACTTACTTATTCTATTGTATCTATACATTTTGCTACCTCAGAGTAACAAAGTTATATCTGCTCAGTTCCTAGCTTTGAGAAAATTGTCGTCAAAGATTTTGAGTTTTACAGCATGTCAAGTTTTTCAAATGCTATTCTTTAAATATCTAGATAACGACTCAGAATAATCTTACAGTTTTGATAGAGCAGAGAGAATCCGACCTCGTGGTCGTAGTAACTCTAAACGGCTACAAATGTCAGATAGAACTTTGTAATTCCGAGGTAGCGATTGACATATTCATCTACGTATTGACCGATCAATCAATCACACACTTGGTTAACTTTTGTCAACTTGATCTTAGACATTCAACCCAAGCATCTACTGATCAATCATTAACCTGTCAATGTAGAAAAAGCCTCGGCGTCTGTGGTGTAGCGGTGAGACATTTCGCTACCGTATGCAGATGACGTGAATTTGATTACAGTGATGGGGGAATTGTTGTCTAGTATCGTTGTCTAGTATCTAAGCCCTCCTGCTGAGACGTTGTATCTCTTATTCCAGGTTGGGCATGAGAAGAAGGCCCGACACTCGTCTCCTAAATAATCTAAGTGCATAGATGGGGGCGTAGAAACGTCTAATTAATATCCTTTCACTGCTGTGGCGACGTAAGACTCACGTCTCCTCTGTGTGCTTTGAGTGACCGTATTTGGGCTCTCTTAACGTAATGTATTCTTAATATTGTGTAAGGGTCAGTTTAGGCTGATTTTTTAAAGCTATAAATATGTATGCTGCATAAGTGGGTAGTGCAAGGATTTAACTCCTTCAATGCCTGGCCCGAGTCTGTCTCTCTGGTTGGACAATCCGAATAAACGAACTCTTGTATTGTACCCCATATACATACCCCATTTCTCCCACCATTCATCCGTCTCTCCTCACCAATATCTCCTACTAACAATACACCTACGTTACCCTAGCACATGTTAATAGAAGACAATCTTCGAAACAATATGTAAGCATCTAGTCTTCTTTTTATTTATTGGTCTTAATTTCTTCATGTGTAGATGTCTTTTTTGAACTCACTAAAGTTAAGTAATATAATTAGGTTTTCTTGACTTACCCAACAACAACAACAACAACAACAACAACAACAACAACAACAAAATCAGTTTGAGAGTCTGCCCGGGAGGTCGATGTTTTGAAAACACTAATGTTGTCTCCACGATATCAGCCCACTGTCCCTTTCGTTGTAGAGTTGAGAGTGTTGACGGTTATTGAGCTGTGGGTAGATAGGGGACAAAGACGATACCAATCTTTAAAAATCAAACTAAAATGTAGCCTACAATGAATTACAAAATTATAAGATTTATAAAAAGTAGGAATCCCCTTTAACTCGAAGACTTGTTTCATCACTCAGTTCTCGTGTCTGGCAGTGAAAGGGCTTAAAATATTTATTAAAAATAAGTAAAAACCAAACATTAAAATCCGAGAAAACAGTATAAACAAGTCTATAGCCCAAATCAAACAGTGACACGCTATTATTATCTACTTTTAAATGATAATTGCCCCTGCTATTTTTATGTGTAAGAGGAAAGCCCTTATTGGTCCTAACCGTAGTACTGGTGTCAACAATATATTGTTATGTCTACTCTGTATGCTTGTTTTCCCCCACAAAAAGACACAATAACAAACAAAGTAACCCCCCCCCCACAAAACCAAAGTACTGGTTACTATTAACACTTTCTCTATTTCCAGACACGGTCAATAAGGCAACCGTCGTTTGTCAAATACGTGGTAAGTATCCTCGGGTTTAGTTGGGTTTTTTTCACTGACTTTTTCTGGATTGAAAGAAGAGGAACACACACACACACACACACACACACACACACACACACACACACACACACACACACACACACACACACACACATATATATATATATATATATATATATATATATATATATATATATATGAGAATGTCCATTTTTAGTGCCGGGAAAAGAAGTAGGAACTATAAGTGGAGCACTCCAATCGTCCACAAGAACAATCCACAAACTTGTAAACAGGTTAATGACTTAGCGTGCTTCTTCCAATTGGGTATTTGACTGAATTAGATTCAAAATGCCAGAATGAAAAGTATTATATTAAAGTCACAAACAATCTTACTTTCACTTTCAGGTTCCCGGAAGGAAACGGTTTCTCGGTCCGGGCTATGGCCCTGTGTTCTATGGAAGAAAGGGCATCAGCAAAAGACGCTTTATTTACTCCAAGAGAAGGCGTTTCTTTGGCTGATCTGACACGCCCCGTGAGTTTTCAGCAAACATAAATATACCAACGCTTTTGTTTGTTAAAATAAAAAATTAAATTAATTCAATAGTGGTCTCTTAGTTCACTATTTGACCCAATTTTAGCCTGATGAAGGTCAAGGGGCGAAGGTACTGCTCGCACTCGACTATATAGTGCTTAAGCATCTCAGTAAAGTTTTCATAGAGAGTGAAGAGCGGCAGCCATGACAATAGACAATCTAGGAGCATAATGTCTATGCTCTCCATCGACCGAAGAATCTGTGCAATGCGCGTTGTTAACTCGGCTTTCTCAGCCAACATTATCTCATCGACCGCTTCCTTAGAGAATTGCGCAACTTATTTCCCGTGACAACATCGATTCAGGGAGGAGTACGAACTAACACGATTTTTGCTTAAGATAGCTCATATATAATATTATTTTATACTTATAGCTTCACTCTGAAGTTGTTGTTTTTTCTTAATTAAGATAACAAATACTCTCTTGGCAGCCACTTAAGAATACCTGTTGTCATGACTTTTTTGGGATATTACTCAAATACTTAAAGAGCATCACACTAATGATTATTCGAGCCGTTAGATCAGTTAGCATCATGCTGGGCCATAGTACAAGAGGCCCTGGTTCGAATCCCAACTGGAGCGTTCATGGGCTGGGGTTCCTTATGAGAGATTTCAAGGCTCTTTAAACGCTTGGTTCTATCCAGTAGGAGATGGAAGTTAAATTCTGAGGTTCCGTCTCAAAGAAAGCTGAATTGAGTTGGAAGGTAAACCCATAAAATTCAATTACAGCTACAGTTTCTCTCATAATTGTCACTTTGAATAACTCATATAACGTAACGTACTTCTCTCTCAAATTTTGCTGTCTTTCATTCTCGGCGTTGTCTGTCCATTGTAGGTTGCAGCCTGCCAACAATGAGCTCCACTCTGTTCTTTCTGCTATTCTACGTATTCAGGTTGTTCCCATCCGCTCTCTGGTGTCATCTTTCCATCTTCTTCCTCTATTCCACTTGATCGTTTTCCTGCTCTTTCTCTCTATTCAGTGAATCTTTTTGTTCATCTGCTATCCTTCCTTCTAACTATGTGGCCTGCTCATTTCCATTGATGTCGAAGTATCAATTTGGGAAACATCTGATTGTTATTCTGCTACTCTTGTTTTCTTTCGTTTTTTTTTTTTTGGTTTTTTTTTTTTTTTTTTTTTTGGGGGGGGGGTTTTTTTTTTTTTTTTTTTTTTTTTTTTTGTTTTTTTTTTTTTTTTTTTTTTTGGGGGGGGGTACTTTTGTTGATCTTGTTTTCTTATACTCAGCATTGTTTTTTTCCATTGCTCGTTGTGCTGTTGCTTGAGATATCCGCAATAGTAATGGTATGGCTCTCACGACAGGAAGTGTTGTAAAAGTATATAGGCGTTAGTTATCTAGTGCTTAGACTCTCAGGCTCGTAATTATGTTTGGAAAGTTGGGGGGGGGGATGAAAGTTCAATTTGATATGACTTAGTGTCCTTTGGAAAGACTCTTAACAAGAATGTTCCTATTTTGGCTCCGTCCTATCACAGACAGAGACACTATC